TTTGATCATCCGAGCCCTCAAGAAACCACCAACAGACAGAAAGAAACAAAAAAAACATTAAACACAGTGGAAATATCACTTTTGACGAGATTGTCAACATTGCCTGACAGATGCAGCACAGATCTTTAGCCAGAGAACTCTCTGGAACTATTAAAGAGATCCTGGGTACTGCCCCGTCTCTGGCTGCAATGTTGATAGCTGCTGTCCTCATGACATCATAGATGACATCAACAGTGGTGCAGTGGAATTCCCAGCTAGTTAAGAAGTACAAAGGAAAATATTTTAATAAAGGATCGTTCAACCACCAGTGGGGGTGGGGATGGGGGGTGGGGGGGAGTTGGAAGAATGTATAAACTATCAGAACTAATAATAAAATTTAACAAGGTTGCAAAACACAAGATTAATACTAACATTCATTTACTTCTATATACAATCAGCAAATGATTGGAAATTTAAATGTAAAAATTTTATTTTAATAGCTTCCAAAACTAAGACATTTAAGAATAAGTCATGTAGTTCCTCTACAATGAAAAATGCAACACATTTCTGAAAGTAATTACAGAAGACTTATGTCAGACTAGGCTAAGGCCTGGAATCCTCACAGCACCAATTGTCTAGCTCTTAATCCTGTTTGTGACGCCAATTGTAAAGCTAGGTGACCATGCCAGTTGTCAGGCTCTTTTACCTGCCGGTAATCCTGCACCGACCAGGCTAATGGTTGAGCTAGGGCTGGGTCTGGAGCTCCCAGACCCCTCAAGCCTATTCACAGACTGGGTCACAAACCCTTCACATGCCAGGCTGGGTCACCAGACCCCTTCATGCAGGCCTATGAGCTAGGTAACTGGTCAAAGGGTCCTTGGAGCCATAGGTTGGAAAGCATGGCCGAGCTGGGCAGAGGCCCGAGGCCGACGCCCACCCACCTGCTTCACTAAAACTCTTCTCTCTTTGTCTCTCTCTGTCTCTCTCTGCCTCTCTCTTTTTCTTTCTCTGAAGAACACAAGAGTAGCAACAAAATTAAAAAGAAACACTGGTGCACATGCACACTAATTCCACACACACACACACACACACACACACACACACACACACAATTTGCTTACAAAGGATGCTGAACCACACCCAACTGGACCTGAGGCGAGGGCCCTGAGCAAACTATTCTATTTTCCCAACAACTTACAACTGGAGAAATATACTAAGTTCATGGGTTAAAAGATTCAATAGTGATTAAACATGAATTCTCTTCAAATTGACCTATAGATTAAATTTTTTTTAAAAATCCCAATAACAGTTACACCAGACTTTTTGGAGAAATTGAGAGCTGATTCTGACATTTCTATAGAAATTCTAAGGGCCTAGAGTATTCAAACTAAAGAAGAACAAAGTTGTAGGATTTTCACTACCTGACTTCAAACACATCAGGTCTTGACATGTGATGGAAGCGAGTGAGTGAAGAACTAGTACCCCCTAAAATCCTTTCTGGTGCAGGTGGCAGCATGCCAGAGGAGTAGGGGTGAGGTCCAACTGCAGTGTCTTGTGCCCACCTCCAGTGGTGTTGGCGACACATGCGGCAGCTGTGTTGCCCGCGTTGCAGTGGTACTTGTACTAGACCACTTTGGTGGTGTCATTTTAGGAACTTAGCTTCTAACTAGTATGCATAATCCTCCTGATGATTCTATGTGCTACATAATAATCTATGACGAATTCAGTTTTTGCTTAAATTAGCCAAAGTTTTTTTTTTTTTTTTTTAATTAGCAATAGAGTAATCCTGACTGATACAAATGTTAGGAAGAAAAATAAAGGGCAAAGAAACAAAGAGTGACTGGGGCTGTATTTTGGATAATGGGATAAGAATGAATTTCTCTGAAGAGGTGGCGTTTGAACAAGACCATATTATTCCACTTCAGTTTGTAAAAAAAAAAAATGAAACTGAGGTTGAACTTCTGGCCTATAGGCCAGCTACAAAGACTGTGCTAATTTCTCATAGCTACCACAGAAAACTGACAAGATAATGAACTTCATCGTAACACTGCTCATCTGGAGGAAGGATGGGAGGTAGAGATTACAGTGGAGAGGAGGATGGATATATGTGAATATCTCTTTTAACCACAGTGATTTCATTTTGTCTGTCCTTCTGGGTACATTTTAACAGCCACCTGAAGGAACATTTGCTAGAGCTCACCCTTCTGTTTCAGCAGTTCTAAAGGTTCTCCTTACTACTTGCCCACCAAGGAATTTTTACATAATCTTCAAGGTAATATCACTTGCTCAGGAAAGCATCCAGGACTCATTTTGCCAAAGTAAACAATACTTTTCTATCATTTCTATTGTTTCTATTGTTTTATATGTTTCTATTTTAGAACACTATGCATTATAGTAAATTATTAATTAAAGCCTATTTTATAGGTAGAAGGAAGTGTGCTCCTTGAGGGCAGAGGCTGGATGGGGCTTATTCATCTTTAAATTCACAAGGCTGTGCACAAGGTAGTAACTCAATAGTATCTTGTTTTGCCTTGGCCCCAAATCAAGAATTTCCCAGTCTCCAAACTTTAACCCTCCCAAATAGTAAATAAGGTGAAGATAAGTGAAAGCTATTTTTTTGTGTGTGCCAGAAAATTGTGAGTGTGAGAGTAATATATCAGCCTATCATGTTCATGTGCCAGGTACTTACACACCTTATCCTAATACTCACAGTGTTGGAATAAGCAAGACTGAAGCTATGTTGGGACCTAAAACTGCATGGGTTGTAGGCAAGTTTTAAAATGACACAGGTTTTTTTTCTTTTTTTCTTTTCTCAGCATGCATTTCTCTGAGTTCCCTAATTTACCATACTTATTTGATATTTTGAACCTTGCTTATGGGGCAAGATGATATTTACATGAATGTAAAGTTGTTTTCCAGCCAGCCTGAAGCTGCAAACTTGCAGATCCTGGAAAACCAAGGAAGACATCAATAAAGCCATGCTGATTACACCCCTCCAGCAGGACCCAGCAAGGATAAGTCTTGGTGAGGCTTTGCACCTGAGACCTTTCATGAAGCCCCAGAGGCTCATGTCCCCTCCTTTGTGCTTTTCAGTTCCCTCAGCCCCCTCTTTGTTTGTTTGTTTTGTTTTGTTTCATTTTGTTTTGAAAGATGAACAGTAAGGGGATCTTAACCCTTGACTTGGTGTTGTCAGCACCACGCTCTCTGAAGTGAGCTGACCGGCCATCCCTATATAGGGATCCGAACCTGAGGTCTTGGTGTTATCAGCGCCACACTCTCCCAAGTGAGTCACAGGCAGGCCCCTTCAGCCCCCTCTTTAAAAACTCCTCAGTAAATCTGTGTCTTTGAGATGGCTTTAGCCTGGATGTTCTCCTTCAGGTTTACTGGAGAGGTGGGTTAACCTAACGTTTCTCCTCAGGTAACCGGTATTCCTGAATAAGAGCTGACTTCCATTTTCACTAACATTTGACTTTTTAGTGGTTTCTTTTTGAAAGAGGGCAGACAACCAGACCTGTGTGCCCTGTGACAACAGCCACCCTCCAAGATAAGCTTTATCATCCCAGTTGTACAGATGTGTTGCTTTGCCTCCCATGGATTTGTCACCCCTCTTCCCCTGGGTGATGGAGCCACAAAAGATTACTCAAAGCCCATCTCTTCTGAGCAGTGAGAAGCCTCGAAGTGGTTAATCTCCCTGAACGCTCAAGAGAGAGGCATTCCTTCCATTTGGGAAATTAACCATGATTGGGGTTCTCTTCCTGCATTTATTCTCCAGACCAGGTAGTTACAGGAAGAGAACATAGGTGGGGTTATAGTTTAACAATATAGGCTGGTGACATTCAGTAAAACAAGCCAGATGACATTCCATAAGGTAAATTTAAGTGATCCACCAACGAAAGCTTGATCTTAGCAAACATTCCTTCTCCCTACACAGTTTCCCAGTATCTTTACATATCAATCAGTAACTTGTCTGTTTTTGAACCAGCAACCTTGCTGTCTTACAATTCTTTATCTTACAACAGAAACTATAGCCTGGGGAAAATTCCCTGTTTTTTGCAAGGTCAAAATTTTATATGTACTTTTAAGAAATTAGACTAAACCTGAAAGTACAAGAAACTAGGCCCTGTGAACTATATTTGCTTTACAGTATACTCCAAACTGATGGAGAAACTGGCCTTGTCCAAAGTCACACAGCTAGTAAGTGCCCTGGATCGAATCCCAGGTATCTGCCTTCAGAACTCCTACTCCTACCTGGTCACTCTGCCATGCGTCCCCAACATTCCTTATCATTTCTGTGAATATGTTTCTACGCCATGTGCTTCACATCGGTTAATTCATTTCCGGTTTGTTAGTGTCTGGCTTTGGCGATTACAACCACTACCTCATTTATCGACTGTGAAAAATAACTCAGCCTTAAAGAGATACGGCATGAGCCTAATTTTCTAATTCATTTTTGTGTCTTCTGATTCCTTTTTGTGTCTACATAAGCTTCCTTTCTTACCTTTGGTAGGAATAAATTGTACTCATTCCAAAGTAGAGGGGGTCCTGCTATATGCAACATAAACCTGTCTCCCCCGACCCCCACGCGGAATGCTAGAGGACTGCTGGTAGGGCCCCTGAGGTGGTGCATTACAGTAATAGGAAAAAGAGACCCCGCCCCGCCCCGCCCGGCCCCGCCCCCCGGGGCGCACAGTGTCTTCTAAAGGCTTCGTGGAACTCCCGACGATGGCCACGGGCGGGGAGTCTGGGGTACCTGCTGCCGGCTGAGCAGTGGCCGCCCGCCGACCAGCTTGTCCGCTCGTTGGAAGTCGAGTTCCAGGGCGCGGGCTTGTCCCCGGGAGCGGCGACTGCACGCACCGCGCATGGACGCGCCGGGGGACCCCGAGGGCCCGCGCCCACCAGGAGGTGACCGACAGCAGCGTGGCCCGGCGCGCCGGGGTGGCTTCGGGCCTGTCCTTAGCAGCGATTGAATTGGCTTTAGCTTGGTTTGTTTCCGAGAGGTTCGAAGAGGCTGGGGCCTGACCATGGCTTTCGGGCCGGCGTTTCTTTTCTCTCTGGAAGGGGTAAAGTTCGGGGACTGCATATGGTACGGTCTGTAATGACTTTCTTCCCTATATCTCTGCTTTTAAGTACTGTGCGTTTAATAATGCATTCAATAAATATGTCATTAGGCATAAGTAAAACGTTACCTTTCGCGTACCCACTGTTCCCTTTTTTTTAGCTTCTCATTTTCCTTCCTCATCTACTTCAAAATTTTAACAAAGATTCTTAAAACTTCCTCATGTTGCACAGATTTTTTTCTTTCTGTAATGCAATGGCAACCTCTGAAATACAGAGCAAATCAAATATTTTTATTATTTTTTCCCTCAAAACCCTTTAATTTAAAAATGGGTAATGGATTTCATTGGATGTTTGAAACTCTGAGTAACTGACTTGGTGTCTTTAAGTGAAATGACCATTTAGTCCTGGGAATGTGTTAAATGAATTGATGCGAAAAACCAGTAATTTAGTGTAAAAAAAAAGGATTGATTTACAGATTTGTGGGAGTTGTCTTTCCAGAAGCATGCTATTGTAGGTAACATTATTGTATCTATGTAGCATATGAAACTAGTACCTTGAGAAAATAGGGGACATTATTTTTCAGAGTACAGTACCCTTTGGAGATCACCGTGCTGCTTCATCCATGTTGAAGGGATTTAGTAAGCACCAGCAAAATAGGCATTAAGGTGAAGGCAAAACAGATCAGATGGATTGAAAATTTCTGCTCTGAAATTCTAATAGAGACCAGTAAGCAAATGAAAGTGGCATGTTTTCAAACTTGCTGTGATGTACAGGGATTGTGTTACATTTGATCAAATGTGTTATATTCAAAATATCCCTAGGTTCAGCAGATGTTATCCTCAGAGTGCATCATTTGTGCACAGAAATGATACTTGTGTACTTCAATCAATAGTCCCAATTACATGCCTGTAATTGCAGCGTGTTTGCATTCAAGGTGAAGGCTCTGCAGAAAGTGCACGAGAGACACCCAGGAGGCTTTCCAGAGAACAGCTTTCTGTACTGATATCGGCAGCTTCGATGAACTTAGGTTCCATGATGTGCTATTCTATCCTTGGACCCTTTTTCCCCAAGGAAGTAAGACATTTTAATATCCTTATGAGCTCTAATTTTTAAAAAAGCCTTTTGAATTGTTTCACTTTACAGTATGTAAAATGTAAAAATCTGCATATAGTACAGATAATGTGGGAGCTTAAGCCAACAGAATACTTCTTATAGAATGTTTGATAACCAGGAAGAAAAAATCCAGTCAGAAAGAACATCTTCTTGGGAGGTAATTCACCTAAATATAATTGACCTGAGGATTACTTTGCTTACCACGTAGTTTGATTAATCTTTATTTGGTTTCTGCACTGAATCACTGAGATTTAAATGTTCCCGCAAAATGTCTATATTAAGACAGTAACCGTTACCTGAAATTTCTGGCTTATTAATATTTTGGTATTAGGAAGTTGTGATCCACTAAATTCCCTTTACTGACTTGAATTTCTTATGGACTCTAGGGGCAATGTTTATGTGAAGGAGGAATTCTGATTAATATTGCCTAGTTCCCTCTGATTATAGCCTTTTATATGGTTATAGAATCTATAGATAATGGAACATACTCAGAATAACTCCTAGAGAGTCTACCTGGCATCTGGAGTAGTATGAAATGAAGGGGACTGGCTTGGGGGCATGGAGACAATATGGCCATGTGTTTTATTTTGTGTTCTTTGCCAATGCCTTGGCTCACAATGAACTCGCAAGCTTCTCAATCCTTGAACTGCATCGATAGCATGTAGTCCTTCATTCTTTGTGCTACAAAAGAGAATAAAGTGGCTTCTGTGCTAAAGGAACAGTATGGCTCTGTACCCATACAGTGCTCTCTAGTTTACAATAGACGTTCTCACCCATTTATGTTTGGTCTATGCAACACTATAAGGCAGGTAAAATAGTGAGAATTTCATGAAGTTGCAAATGAGGAAAGTCTCAGAAGTTAAGAGACTGGGAATGATATCTCAGCAAATTGTGACAATTTCAATTTGCTGGAAAATGGTGATCAGCTTCTGCCTCTGTAAAAGGTTTTTACCACTCTCTAACCTTTTCCTAGTCAAAATTTCTCTGTACCCTCAACTAATTCTTCCATTTCTTATATAAAAATGTCCATGGGGACACCATTCCACTTTCATGCCCAAAAAAAATGTGTGTGTGTGTGTGTGTGTGTGTGTGTGTGTGTGTGTGTGTGTGTGTGTATTTTCCTAGTGAGGTCTCCTAGGAAGCAGGCTGGAGCTAGAATGCAAGAGCTTGGATGCATGCCAGGGATTTAGTCAGTGGAAAGTCATCAGAGGTGATTAAGCAAGACAGGGGGCTGGCCAGATTTGGGTTTTGTAAGAAAATAGGGAAGCCTGTGGAATTAAGATGGAGAAGAATTGTAGTAAGTGGATTGACCAGCCAGAAGGCTATTTCCTGGCTCAGCTAGGTGGACTATGGACAGAGGAAAACTAGGTTGTGGGTGTGTGTGTGTTTAAGTTTTTGATTACGTTTTTTGCTTATGGGAGGGAAGGCTGAAGAAAGAAGACAAAAGGCAGGAGAGAGAACATTCTAACTTTGAAAGCTGTAGATAAGAAGAGTGGGCTTTTCCTTTTCATTTCTTATGAAAACCTTATGGTTGACAAATGCATTGGTAAAACCTCACTGTTCCTGCTGCATGTCCTATCACCTTCCTGTTAGAAAGAGCTAATTGGGCAAAGGAAAAACAGTGCCCTTTTAAAATTCTGGTGCAGGATTCCTACACCAGATTCATCATTTTTCTGGCCACCCTCCTTACTTGTCAGAGGATGACATGTGAACCAGAAATTGCTTTTGTTAGCTCTTATTGCTTTCCTAATGTGAAGCAGGATCCACGTTCCAAAAGTGGTGTTCGGCCACTGCTGTGGCATGTGGTTCTAGGACAGCCTATGTCACCATCACCATTCCGTTTCCACAGTGAGTGTGGGAAGATGCATATGGTGGAAACTATAGTGGCTCAATGACTATGTAATCTTTGCAAATCTGTGTCCTCATCTATAAACAGGGACAGCTAAAAATACATTCCTTATTTAATGGTTGTTAGATTCCATCTAAAACAGCACTTGATAGAGATTCTGGTTCATGGTAAGGGTCCAGTAAATATTAGTTGCTATAATCATTACATACTTTCTTCCAGATTCTAGAATTAAATGCTCATCAGCTCTATTAAGCAAAAAACATGGCTAATGTAATTTGGCCCATGAATGTTCTTCCTACATCTTAATTGATTCCTTTGATAATACCTTTCCTTTAAGGAACCGGACCTTTGTGTAGTAGAAATGTAGACTTCAGGGGCCGGCCCGTGGCTCACTTTGGAGAGTGTGGTGCTGATAACACAAAGGCCACAGGTTTGGATCCCTGTATAGGGATGGCCGGTTAGCTCACTTGGAAGAGCGTGGTGCTGACAACACCAAGTCAAGGGTTAAGATCCCCTTACCGGTCATCTTTAAAAAAAAAAAAAAGAAATGTAGACTTCATGTTCCAGTCTACATACAGCATAATCTTTTACTAGGATGCCATTAAAGAGATCTACTGAGATCTCTCTTGTCTCCACACCATTATCTCTTATGGTTATTAATACATGGAATGGCAGTGACCAGTTATGAAGCCTATGGAATTATGGGCTCACAACCTGCATAAGCAATTGCTGCAATGCCTGCCCTCACCCACCACCAGGTGCTTAGGGACCACATTTCTGGGGGTCTTCCCCTAGAAAGGCAGATCCTTCCTAAAGGTTAGCTTAGAACAATCAAGTATACCTATTTGGTTTCCTGTGGTATGATGCTATGAGAAATGTAGGGTTTGTTTAAATAGGTGTAGTGTGACATGAAAAAAACATCTTTGAAAAAGACAAGAATTGAATGATTATGGTATCTTTTTATTATTATTTTGGGGCTGCTCGCAAGTATTTATGATGGTATCTTTACATGGAAATGGATGGAGAAAATTTTTATCTTAAAATCTCAGAGAGAAAAGGTAAAAAAATGCGATGATGGCTGTTGTAGAGAATGGATCTCGAAGGGTGTAAGAGTTTACATGTGTGCACGCTGTGTGCGCACACACTTCTGTGTTGAATAAAGTTATTTGTGGAAGATCTGAAGCTCTGGCAAAAGGATGAATCTAAGTCAGACTCTTCTGACCATAAATATGTACTGCTTTTATAATGCCTGACACATAGAAGGTGTTCAGTAAGTGACTGCTGACTGTCAGGACAGACAGTTGTGTAGTTCAGACTTTGTACTTCACAGTATGCTAAGTTGCCAATCCTGTCATGAAGAAATTAACCTCATATTTTAAGTCTTTAAATTGCTATAGCTAAAACCTGATGTAAGGATCTGCCATATTTCCAGGGTTTGAAAAAGTTTTTGAAACTTCTCTCTATTTTTATATGTGAATTCAGTTGTACATTACAACAGTAGCATTTGAAGGTCAAAAGAAGTAGATTTAAGATAAATACTTTATCATCTGTAGCAAATTGAGGAGCTCACTAATGGAATGGACTATAAACATTAATAATTATAATTGATGGATGATAAACTGCCCTAGGTGTTTAAGAAGAATGTAGAATGTCAGGGAAACGTCTTTCATCTGTGTCATTGATGCCAGGAGGGAAAATTGTCTTCTTCAAACTGTAAGGTAATTGGTGTCACGGCCAAAAACAGAGAACCAGACTGAATGGGCTTGGTATGACTCACGTGCTGGCTTATGGAACTGCTTATTCTTGAGTTTCTTGACTGGCGAGTGTTTGTTTTTAGTGGTGTACAGTCTTGTAACTAAATGTGATACCAAAACGGAAATGTGTCTAAATCAGCTGTTTCCTTAGTCCTATGACTATGAAGTAGAGTCCAGATTTCCTCATCCAAGGTTTTCTGCGTTTGTTTATACTCTCTAATTCTGACTTTTCCCAGCTAAACCTAACAAATCATTATAGTACGGTAAGTGAATTTCACGTCAGAAACTAGGTTTTACTATTTAAACTAGTTTCCCTTCCTTCCCCACCCTGTTTATTTTAGAATAATAATCTTTGAAATTGCATACACGATTTCACAAGATCAAAAGAAAATGGTGCTCAGGTCTAATATTTCCACTTTTTATATACTGGTGCTAATTTGTCTTTCAAACTTTGTTCCCATTTCTATTTCTTTAAAGGCTGAAAAGAAGGGTGCCAGCAATACCATTATCGGTATGATCTTCGGGTGTTATGCTTTGTTTGAGTTGCTAGCATCTTTGGTATTTGGAAAATATGTAAGTATTAAAAGTTCATATGCACATTTTAATATTTAAAAATTGTGTAAAGAGTTATTCTAATTTATGAGTCTGGAATTTTCAATGATACAGAAATAATCACCATTTAGTTTTATAAATTGTGCCATTGTTGACAGTTCCATCCTTAGGGCTGATTGATTTTTACTTCCTTCCATGTTTGCAAGCAATGTATATTGCCATTCCATTAAAGAAATATTATAATATTATATTACTGTACGTGCCTTCTCTAATCCTATATTTTGAGATACAATAGATTTGTTTATCTCAGTATAGACTTGTAGAAGTCATCAATTTACCACTCTTCTTTGACGTTTATTATAGCTCGTACATATTGGAACAAAATTTATGTTTGTAGCAGGAATGTTTGTCTCGGGAGGAGTTACAATTCTCTTTGGGTAAGTCATTTTTTTGATATGTATGGGAGCTTGAACAGATTTTATAATCTATCTTCAGGTTAAGATATTATGGCTCTTTAAATCTGTCAGTACCATTATTGTCAGCTGGATGCATAGCATGTGACTAATGGCAGAAGGAGTTAGGGGATATACAGAACAGGGATGAATGACATTGATCTTAAGGAAAGTGTCCTTCAGGGGATCACCATTAGGCTGGCTACTGAATCTGTGAGTGACAGAAACTTAACTCACTTTTTTTGAGTCACAGAAGCTTTGTGGTTTCAGCAAAAAACTGAGTTTCTAATCCTAAAGAATCAGCTCAGAAACATCTGGATACAGATGCTAAAACAATGTCATCAGTAATCTTTCTCAACTTCCTGGCTTTGCTTTTCTTTCCTTGTGCTTAGGTCTTCGGCAAGCTCTCCCCTTTTGGTGGCACGATGGCCCCTAGCAGCTCCAGAAGGGAGAGAGTGCCACTATTGTGACAGCTCCTGTAAAGGTTGCAGAATGGAGCCCCACTGTCCTGATCTTTGTTTATGGCCCATCTCTTCATCATGGCCACTGTAGCCAGGGGGAAAGAGTGTTCTGATTGGCCAGGCCGGGCCATGTGCTCACTTCAAAGCATGGAGCACGATAGTTCCCCCATTGCTATTTCCAGAAAAAAGGGAAAATGAATGCCAGAGGCAACACAGCTATGAACGTTCTTAAGCTTAGAGTCCTTAAACCAGCAGCATAGTGGCAAATAATATAGAAAACCATTATATTAAATGAAGTGGTTTTTTTGCTTTTTCTTTTTTCCTTCTTTTTTTTTTTTTTTTTTGGTGGGGTCTTCTATTTCCTTCATTTTTAATTTTTTTTGGAGGTTTCAGTCCCACCACAGAAGAGACCTGAAACTAAGAAGTTCTTTCTTCTATATAGATCTTGTCAGAATAATTCTGCATATGCCAAAAAGGCCTATTTACTATTATCACTAGGGGACCAATTATGTCCGCAGAAAAGGGAAACTAAGCTGTTGTTATGAATAAAATTGTCACCAAAACAAAACAAAAAAAAAGGTATTTTCCTCCTACTAAAAGTATAACAAAGCAAAATTTTAAAAAATTCATGTTCTGTAGAGATTTATTCTGATACTGTAGATGATGTCCTATTTTCAGTAGCTTGGCATTTGAAAATTGCCTTATTCCTTTTTAGCGTACTGGACCAAGTTCCAGAAGGACCAACATTTATTGCTATGTGTTTTCTAGTGAGAGTAATGGATGCAGTGAGCTTTGCTGCAGCAATAACTGCGTCATCTTCTATCCTCGCAAAGGCTTTTCCAAATAACGTGGCTACAGTATTGGTATGTATTTTATAAATTTTTCATATTTTCCTTTGCATGTGGGCTGAAATATTTGTTTGACCTTCTAAGTTAAAGCTGGGATCTATTCTTTTGTATCTTCTTTTCTCTCCTCTCTGTGTTTTTGTTACCTTTTACCCCAATTTCTACTTCTAGCAGCAAGGCTGTCAGTACATGTGCTGTTAGTGTCACTTAGGTGCTCTTTCTGGTCTTAGAATTCCCCAAATAGGTGGTCTGACAGGTAAATATGGTCCAAATCAGCTGTTCTCCTTACCACTTTCTCTTAAACCTCACGAGTAGTATTTTGCTGTCTCTCCCTGTAGTCTAGATTGTGACTGGACTGCCCGAAGCATTTCTCTGCTTTAGAGGAGAGTTATTGCTAGTGGCAAAAGACTCATTTCATGCTCAAGTCCTTCTCCACTTTTCCCAGATTCATGCAAGTGATCTTAGAGATCTTCCTGAAGTCACTGTGTGCATCTGAGCTGTCAGTCTGGGGATCTGGGGAGTGCCCTTTTATTTTGACATAAAAATCCAGAACTTGGTGGTGTCATATTGACTTACATTCTTGTGTATTGCATAGATGCCTATAGACCTGGTATTAGTGACATAGCAGATTCCTTCCTGTTCCAGCTCGGGGCAGCTGCTTCTGTGTCCCCAACCAGGCTTTCCCATAGCTCTCTCTTTGGGCACAGGCATCCCTGGACCCTGGTCTGCATATCAGACCAAACACTACCCTCATAGCATATAATTATTCCTTAGACCTCAGAGTCTAATCAGCTTACTACCAAAGACTCCCTTATTTATTCAATTTAATACTGTAGTTTGAAAGTTTTGGCTGTCATATAAACTATCTGCTATGTAAATAGTTCTTCCCGCTATTTATTAACCAGTTACATTAATAGCTGGATAGGTTCATTTTAGGTTCTATAGCCATTTGGCAAGTGGTGGTGGCCACTGTAACAGGCGTACCATTTACAGTTCCCAGAAATCTGTTTCTCAAGAAGGACTCAGAGTTGGCGTGCTCTGTAAAACAGGGTTTCATGGCCAAGCAAGTTTGGAGTGTGCTGTATGCTGTCCCCCAGTTCATATTAGTGTTTTAATGCTCTGAGAAATCCTGGAGTAGAGATATCTTATTAGATGTTCCACAACTCAAATTTGACCACAGAACCACTTTTTTCAAGCAATACCTATTGATGTCTTAAAGATTTGGTGTTCTGTGGAATGCTCTGGAAAGTGCTAACCAAGAAATTCCTGTGATGATGGCAACAGTCCGTTGGATTTTTTGATACTTGGAGGAAACCAGTATTGCCATACCAAGTTTCTATATAAAATTGCAACAAAAAGCTAACACATCTAACATGGTAGTTAATTTGGATGACCTTATTGTGATTAAAGGTAGAATTCCTATATTCTTTATGAAATGTTGAAAGTTATTAATGGACTACTTTTGTGTACTCTGAGATCTGAGGATGTGAGGTTGCAAGTCACAGTCTCTGTTTAAAGCCCCTAAAGACTAAATTTATTTTAAATGGTGTAATTTCTGTAATAGGAAACTTTTTTTTCCATAGCATTGTTTTGTTTATTTTAACTTTAACAAAATAACTTTATGTGGTACAAAATTCAGAAGTTACAAGAGAGAATATGAAATACAGAAAATATGTTCTATTTATTATTGTTGCTTAGCCTTTGTATATACACCTGTTATCCAGGTGCCCAGCCCTCCATTACCCGTCCCAGAAGGCAGCAGATATTACAGGTTTCTTCCAGAGAGATTCCATGTATGTACACACACACACACACACACACACACACACACACACACACACACACACGGATAGCATGATTCCTCTCCCCTCTTTTTTCTTTACACAAATGGTAGCCTACTGTATACACCGTTTAGCACCTTGCTGATTACAATAACAATGAAATCATTTTGGAGACCTCTTTGTATCTACATATAAAGAGCTTCCTTACTCTGCCTCTTCCCTACTGGCAGTATGGTACTTCACTGTGTGGATGTAACCTAGTTTATTTAAATTGTTGGTGAATATTTAGATTATTCACATCTTTTGTTGTTGCAAACAGTGCTATAACTCATAAGCTTGCATGTATACCATGTCACATCTTATGGCTATACCTGTAAATTAAATTCCTAGAAATGGTATTTTGGGTCAGAGAGTATGTGCATTTGTAATGTTGATAGATGTGCCAAATGGCCCTCCGGTATTCACTCACCAGCAATGCATGTGTCCTTCCCCATATCCTTGGCAGCATACAGTGTTTGATGGGTGACAGGTGAAAATTAGTATCTTGTAGTTTAAATTTGTTCACTTCTTTTAAAAAGTGAAGATGAGCTGCTCCTTCTGAGAGCTATTGTATTTCATTTTATGTGTCAATAGTTTACAGCATTTCCTATTGGATTGTTCATTTTTTTCTCATTGATTAGTAGCAGCTCTATCAATAAATTTGGGAAGTTAGTTCTTTGTCAGTATTTTTTTCTCTACTCTTTTTTGTCTTTTGTGTTTTTCCATGCATAGTTTTTCATATTTTCATGTAGTCAGACATATCCATTTTTTATGCCTTCTGAGTTTTATACCATAATTAGAAAACCTTCTCTATCATAAGAATTAAAAGAGAAAAAACTCCCATATTTTTCTAGTGCTTTTATAATTTTAATATGTATTTTTAAATTTTTGGTTTATCTTGGTTGTATGTGTATGTGTATGTGTGTGTTTGTGTGTGTGTGTGTGTGTGTGTGTTTAAATTGTGAAGCAGAAAGAACTTTTTTCAGATAGTGCCCTGTGAGTTTTTCAAAAGAAATATATTAACTCAATTTTCTTTTGTTTTTAGGGAAGTCTTGAGATTTTTTCTGGACTGGGATTGGTACTAGGTCCTCCTTTAGGTGGCTTTTTGTATCAATCCTTTGGCTATGAGGTGCCTTTTATTATTTTGGGATGTATAGTTCTGCTGATGGTTCCACTCAACATGTGTATTTTACCCAGTTATGGTAAGTCCACATTTATTACTCATTTTGAGAATCTTAAATTTTTATGCCTTTGTAAGAGACCAATTTACCAGATTTTCACTTCTATTGTGTGTAATCAATAAGGGCTTTTAAGAGCACCCTAAAGGAACTGATTATCATTTTTCAGAAATGTTGTAGGCGATTGGTTTATTTGAATTTTTACATATCACAAATTCTTTCCAATCTTTAGAATAGAAAATATTTAATTTCCGATCATAAGCCATTACCACATGAAGTGCCCACCAAAGGGCTTCTTGAACTGAACTAAATTTCAGAACAAGAATTTACTTGGTCCTGATGAGACCCCAGTCTTCCCAGAAAGCTTTAAGATAGGAGGGCAATGCCAGCCATTCCTTCCCAGTGGTCCTTGCAGGTGACTGTGCAGCATGGCCCACATATGAAAACACAGGTCCACATCAGGCAGCAATGGGAGTCACGCTGGCTTCAAAGCTTCATGCCTCATAGGCGTCAGCCTGCTCTGTAATAAATGCATAGGAATCGCTGCCAGGGTCTCCATGAGGGACATGCCAGTTACGAGAGTCACCTCACTCAGGGAGGCAGAAAACATGGTTTCCTGGTTCATTTGTAGTTCCTTCTGTCCAGATGAAATTTATCATCAGGGTGTATTAGTCTGTTTTTGTGTGGCTATAACAGAATAACTGAGACTGGGTAATTTATAAAGAACAGAGGTTTATTTGGCCTACGATTCTGGGACAGACCTTAAGTCTGGCATGGGCCTCAGGCTGCTTCTACTCATGGCAAAAAAGAGCAGGCAGCCTGCGGGTACAAGCTGGGAACTAACAGAGCGAGATCTCACTCACTACCCCCCTCCCCCTGGGAGATCATTAATCCATTCATGAGAGATCCGCTCCCATGACTCAAACAGCTCCCAACACTGCCACATTGGGGATCAGATTTCCACATGAGTTTTGGGAAGACAGTAACATCCAAACTCTATCACAGGGTTATTTTTATTGTTAAAAAAATTGCCTAGTAACATAGTGGACATTGTACCCTATCAGGGTACTAGCGGGAAGTGCTAGACTTTGAACTATAGAGCGGAGAACGGGATTGGAGACCAGAGCTAGAGAGGCAGTACCACACTGAGCCACACGATGGTGCTTGGCCTCTTTCTCAGTGTAATGACACTGTTTCTGTAGTTGAGCATCCTGGGCTGTGCTCAGGTTGATTTGTTGTGTACTTGACTGATAATTAAGAAGTAGACAGCAGGTCAGATTCTCATGCGACAGGAGAAAAACTTTCATTAACTCTTTGCCACACTAGACAAGGAAGAAAGACCTTGTTAAAGCATACTAATTAGTTATGGCAGAACTGAGTATTTAGAACAACATCTGGCCCCAACATCTGTTACTCCTTGAGACTGACCTATACTCATCACCTCCCCTGCCTCTCCCCAGTTGGTGTCTTTTGCAGCCCCCTCTAATCACCACCAGCCTAGTTACTTGGTACTTATTTCTCTTCATTTCTGCTATTTCTCTATTAAAATTTCCTTTCATCTTTATTGAGCTTAACAAAGTTCCAGTTAGCTATATTTTTATGAACAAAAGAGTTTGCTGAACTTCCTCTTTTCCTATGGAAGTATCTTTTCTTTCTTTCTTTATTTTTTAAAAGATGACCAGTAAGGGGATCTTAACCCTTGACTTGGTGTTGTCAGCACCACGCTCTCCCAAGTGAGCCAACCAGCCATCCCTATATAGGGATCTGAACCTGTGGCCTTGGTGTTATCAGCACCGCACTCTCCTAAGTGAGTCACGGGCCGGCCCTTGAAGTATCCTTTATTTAGATTGAATGGAAAAAAACTGATATTTTAAAAAAATCTCTAAGATTGATAATATTAAGTTTGTAAATGTAGATTTAGGTGTTCCCATTTAGGAGTACTTTAAAAAATTATTTTAGGAGAGTTTATAGACAGAAGCTAGAAAATTAAACAATTTTTTTTTCTGATATTGGCAGAATTTTGTATTCTACAGGTTCTCCCACTCCTTTACATCCTTCTAGACCCATAGACAATGTGGCTTTAGCTTTGGATGGCTGAGTCCCTCACCCTCATCCTTTATATCTGCTCTTCTGTACTAGTCTAAAGAAATATTTCTAAAATAGTGTCGTGGACATGTCAATCCTCCTATCAAAATCCTTAAGTCCAGTAAGTTCAAGAGATCTATTGTACATCATGATGACTATAGTTAACAACTTATCGTGTACCTGAAATTTGCTAAGAGAGTAAATTTAAGTGTTCTCACCAGACAAAAAGGAAACGGATGTGAGGTAATGGCTTAATTTCACAATGTGTACATATATCAAAACATCATATTGTACACCTAAATATATGCAATATTTGTCAATTAAAATTTAAAAAAAAATCCTTAAACCCGTGAAATGTGAACGTTATCCTGAAAGCCAGTAGGAGCTATTGTTAGATTGAAGTAGATAAGTCACATGATTTGACATATTTCTCTCCCACTCTACCTAACCCTGCTCATCCTGCAAAACTTAATTTGTATTTCTTCTTCTGGGGAGTTTTTCTAAACATTCTAGATCATTAGAGTAGATGTTGAAAAAGTAGTGCCACGTACTCAGCCTCTTTCCAGCCTCATCATACCTGAGGACTACCCCACATCACCATCTCTAACAGTAGCTTCCTGAGGCAGGCATTATCAACCAGGGAGTCAAGTGTCTTCAAGAAGAGTGTATCAGAATTTGGAGAAAGCAATAAGAGTACCCAAGGAACTTTGAAAAGCTCCCCAGGTGATTCTGCTATGTGTCCCTTGAATCAGGTAGCACCCAAAGTTTTCATTATTTAGTCTTCTTCAACAAATGAATTAAACTAATTATTTGTTCATTTTCATGGATGTTTTTATATACTTATTGTGATAACTCCTCTTCCCATCCTGGATTTTAGGGAAGGGGATCATTTATGCCATAATAGTTTGTCTTATTACATAAATACGTAACACTTCTTATATGTACAATAAATATAACCAATTGGAATTGGAATCTTTTGTAATTTATATTGTGAAGGTGACTCATTAACATACTTAGTATCGATTCAAAATTCACACCAACTTGTCTTCCTGCTAGCAATACCTTGCTGAGCCACATGGTGGTGCTTGTTCTCTAAGTAGAACTGCATACGGTAATGTTTCTGTAGTTGAGTATTGGGGGCTATGCTCAGAATTGGTTTATCATTGAATGGTTAGCTGATAATTAAGAAATTAACACCAAGGTTTGACTTTTATCTCTTCTATCCTGAAAAAGTCGACCTAAAATAGCTGAAACATACTTTATGACTTTTTTGTACTTTGCTCCATACTTGATCATTATTCAACAAGTATTTATAGACTAATGAAATGTGCTTGGTGCTGTGCGAGAAATGAGGGTATATGAGGGCTGATCCTGGCCCTCAAAGAGCTTCCACATCCACACCCAATATCATCTCTGGCCAGGATCACTATGAAAGCCTCCTAGCCAGTCCCCCTGCCTCCATCCTCCAAAGGGCCGAAGAGAGATCTCTCTAAATCACACGTCTGATTCTCATTTCCTGCTTGAAATCCCTAATGATCTTCCAGGCTTCTTAGCATATTTTATGAGATCCTCCATAATCTTATCACTTCATCCTCTGCAGTATGATCTCTTCCCCCACTGTTTGCATACCCTACCCCAATCTCAGTCTACATACTTTGCATCTTCTCTCTCATTTTCTCAAACACAGTATAGTTTCCTCTCACTTCTGAGTCTTCCAATAATATATATGCCTTGATTATTCTTCCTTCCTCCTTTGCTTGCTCATCTCAAGCTCATTCTTTAGGTACCAGCTTAGATTTCACTACTTCTGAAAGCCTTTCCTATACAGCCCTCCCTGGTGTTTTAAGGCATCTCTCTCATATGCTCCAGTAGAAACCCTCCTAGCTCCATCCAAGCTCTCTCCACTCATCATTGTAACTTCTCTGCAAGAACAGGGTCAGGGTCTGGGTCTGTCTTGTTTATTTTTGTATGCCCAGAATTTTGCATGTGCCTAGCTCAGCAAAGATTTTGTTCATTAAGTTAATTGGAAGAGAGGAAAGTCACCAAACAACAGTAAACATACAAAGCAAAATATAATTTTGATGTTAAATTTTGTAGATAGACTAAAAGTACTGTAGGAAAGTGAAGAAAGGTAAAATATATGGAAGAATTAGGGCCAGAGCCAGTCCTTATAGAGTGAATACAATATGAAAAATTAGCAGGAAAAAAGAAAGGAGTCATGCAATATGATTGGAGACTTGGAAATAGCCATGCCTGATGCTTGGAACAATGAAGAAGTTATTTTTGGGGAAATGATGGGAAGTAAGGTTGATGTTCAATTGACTTTGAATGCTAAATGTAATTTACATAGGATTCAATAGCACCCCTTTCAATCCAGAATTTGCTTTGCTAGTAGAAGAAAAAAAAATTGTTTTTTTAAAAAATTAATGCAGGTTTGCACACACACACTTTGTTCCTTGGTATCTCTCTGGTGATGCTTTTCCCATGCACCAAATCAGACTTTGCATATTCTGTATCTCTTCTGGGGAAGGCCTTACTTCTTGGTTACCCTATAACCTGAAATCCCGTCATCCTCTCACACTCTGATTCCAATTGATTCTTTTTAAATTTGAAAAGTTATTTTTAATAAAATTGAATGTAACCTCTAGGTTTGAATAACTTATATACAGATGTTGACAGCATATAATTTTAGGCAAACTCAGAGGTACAGTTATCTTGATTAGCAGATAAAGATGGCCTTACCAGTTTTACTTTTCAAAATACGTTAAAAGATAAGGGCCGGCCTGTGGCTCACTTGGGAGAGTGCGGTGCTGATAACACCAAGGCCACGGGTTTGGATCCCTATATAGGAATGGCCGGTTTGCTCACTGGCTGAGCGTGGTGCTGACAACACCAAATCAAGGGTTAAGATCCCCTTACCAGTCATCTTTAAAAAAAAAAAAATACATTAAAAGATAAAGTTAGTAGAATTTAATTGCTATGATTTACTTTTTTTTTTTATTTTTACCCCAAAGAATCTGATCCAGGTGAACACTCATTCTGGAAACTCATCACTTTACCCAAGATTGGCCTTATAGCCTTTGTCATCACCTCACTCAGTGCGTGTTTTGGCTTCCTTGATCCTACTCTGTCTCTGTTTGTCTTGGAGAAGGTGAGTAGCCCGATTGTTGAAGAGCTCTGCATTGTAGCAGGTGGGCATAGTTGTTTGTTCTTGGGCCCTGCTTTGTGGGCAGACCTTTGAGCAGCTCTGAGAAGGAAGAAGAATGGAACTGCACACTGAGGTAGCCTGTACCTTCCTGCTGTGACATCTCTATGAGCTAGGGGTCTAATTCTATGAGCTAGGGATCTGATTCAGTATAAAGGAAAGAAGCTTTTCAGTAAGTGGCCAAAACATTTGTCCCCTTTCCAAGATCTTGCTCATGTCTTTGTAGGTCTGGCTTGGGCATCATCTGCTTAACAAGGATCCTATCCCTCCATTTGTTTGAGCTTGGTCTGGTTACTAACACTCAGTTGGTTAGAGAACAGCCTTGTAATACCAAGGTCACAGGTTCAGATCCCCGAACTGGCCAGCCACCAAAAAAAAAAAAAAAAGAAAGAACATTAGTTAAGGATATTAATTAAGGAAAATGAAGACAACTTAGAAAATCAAATTTTATTTTATTTTATTTATTTATTAAAAAAGATGACCAGTAAGGGGATCTTAACCCTTGACTTGGTGTTGTCAGCACCACGCTCAGCCAGTGAGACAACCAGCCATCCCTATATAGGATCCGAACCCGTGGCCTTGGTGTTATCAGCACCAAACTCTCCCAAGTGAGCCACGGGCCAGTCCAGAAAACCAAATTTTATGAAAGCATTTATATCATGTTGGTAATAGTGACAGTATCAAAGTTATGTGATAGCTCACAGATTTAAGAGGCTTCTAAAATGTGTCACACCATCTAATTTTTAAATTAGATAGATATTAATATCCCTTTGAGACAGATAATGTAGATATTATCTTTAGTGTTTTTCACACAAGTGTACCTCAAAGTGCAGCCTGTGGGCTTTTAGCATCACCCAGGAGCTTGTTAGAAATGCACATTCTCAGGCCCCATCCCAGACTTTGTGAATCAGAAATTCTAGGTCTGGGGTCTAGGAACCTCTTTTAATAAGCTCTCCAGGTAATTTTTATGCACACTAAAGTCTGCAATACACTATTTTACATATACAAATGCTATGATTCATAGAAGCAAAATTATATGTTTAACATCAAATGCTGCAACGCAAAATATCTAGGTCTTCTGACTCTAGTTATTTTTTTTCCTATAGTGAAAAAGTAACCAATTTACAAAGGTAAGACAAAAATTAGGAAGAATGCTCAGTGTTATTAGTAGACTCATGGTAATAAGAGCTGAAGAAATGGTAGAAGGAAAAGATGGATGATAATTTAAAAACTGACTTAACCATGTAACTTTAATTCAGGATTTCTTTTACAGTTTAATTTACCAGCTGGATATGTGGGACTGGTATTCCTGGGTTTGGCACTGTCCTATGCCATTTCTTCACCACTGTTTGGTCTACTGAGTGACAAAATGCCGGTATGTACACTTACTTTATATTTGAGTTGCTTTTGTATGTTTAGACCAGTGATTTTCCAGCTATTCCTCTGGAACACTAGGGGTCCATTGGTTGGAACTGACATATTTGATTGGACTGATGGAGAGGTTCCCATGTCTTCTAACCTCAGCCACCACCCTGAGCAGATTCCCTTTTAATTGCTTCATCTGTGAAAAGAGGAGTCCTTGATAAAACTGTTGAAAAACTATGGGATCAGACTTTCTAAAGGAAAAAGCTCCATTGATTAAAAAAAAAAGAAAAAAGCCTTATCTTAATAATTAGGGCAAAATTCCAGAGGTTATTATGGGATTTGATCAAATTGAGAGATTCTGCTTTAGGAAGAGATAATTTAGGTTTATTGTCAGAGTAAAAGGATTGGCCACAAAAATATGTATTTTATCCCGTAGCCATCCTAACAGAAAATTCCTTTTATTCTCTTTTAACTTGGTCTAAACCATTCAGTCCAGATGACTAGCATACAGTACTAGTAGCATTAGCCGGATCCCAAACTTCTATGGCTTTAGTGCTTATTTTTTGCATTTCTCTGTTCATTAGATTTGCATATATTTTTATCAAGACCTAAATAATGTAGGGATTGGACTGGCCGGTTAGCTTAGTTGGTTAGAGCACAGTGGTATAACACTGAGGTCAAGGGTTCAGATCCTGGTACTAGCCAGCCACCAAAATAAAATAAAATAAATAACGTGGGGATTACTTAGTAACCTCGGTGACAAAAAGCAAGTATCTTAAAACAGTGTTCGAAGCTTTAAGACATAGTCTTATATAACTGAGCAGATATTGTACTCCTGTAATTTTTAACCTGATTCAAGTAGTTTATAAGGGATGATTTTATTGGTTACCGTCTTAGTCTGTTATAACAAAATTCCATAAACTGGGGGGCTGATAAACAATAGAAATTTATCTCTCATAGTTCTGAAGGGCGGAAGGGCAAGGTCAAAGTGCCAGCAGATTTGGTGTCTGGTGTGGGCCTGATTCCTTGTTCATTCGTGGCTGCCTTTTCACTGTAACCTCACATGGCAGAAGAGGCAAGAGAGCTCTCTGAGGCCCTTTTTATAAGGGCACTAATCTCATTCCTAAGGGCTCCACCTTCATGACCTGATTACTACCCACAGGTACACCTCCTAACACCATCACATTGATTTAACGTGAATTTAACATGAATTTTGGGAGGACAAAAGCATTCAGTCTATAGCAGGTACTTTGTAAATAATGTGATTTTTCTAGTTATTGTAACTACTCAGTGGGCTCCTCATGGTAACTGCTTTTTAAATTGTTATATTTGGAATAGTTCATCGCATGCAAAATCTGCAGTAAACTCCCTTTCCCACGAATAACTTGCTCTTTGCCCATTCCCTATTTTGTGTTATATTGTCCTTGCTTTTGAGTTTATCATCTACTTATTTTTTTCTTAAATGTAAAGTTTTATTTTCTTTAATACGTTTGAATTTTTAGATATCATGAGTTGTGTTCTTTAATGATTTTTTATATTGTTTGATTATGCAGGGTCTTTACCTCTAAGAATTTCTTTAGACTCTCTTTCTCTTTACCAGCATCTAAGGAAATGGCTTCTCGTTTTGGGAAACTTAATTACAGCAGGGTGCTACATGCTCTTAGGACCTGTCCCTGTCTTGCACATTAAAAGGTAATTTTTTTTGTTCATCTGTATTTTTAGCCGAACAGCATTAAGAATTATTCTAAAAAATTTTGATGTAATACTGGGAAGGCTTAATATTTAAATAATTGCTTTGATTTAGGACTATACTGAGTTATTTGTTAGACTGACAGTATTTTACCATATTAGAACCTAGCAGTGGTACAAGCAAATAGGAATGCATAAAATCTGTATCAAAAGAGAAATAATGCTTATTCTCCCTCTGTGTCATTTGTGTACTTGTTTGTTCTTTATTTTAAAAATAGTATTTTTTGCTACCAAACTTTATAGTTGATAGTCCTTAGGGGAAAAAAATCTGTGTGTGTGTGTGTGTGTGTGTGTGTGTGTGTGTGTGTGTGTGTGTGTGTTTTATTCTTCCTCCTTGCTCCCTGAGGTAGGGACCAAATCTTTTTTGTTTCTGTATCATCCTTAATATGTAGTAGTAGTTCCTCATTAAAGCTTTCTAAATGTAGTTTATTTGCTAAATAAAGTGAGCTTCTTAGACATTTTCAGGTTACTTCTGGGATAAGACATATCATGGAGAGAGGGATTTCAGAGTCCCTCAGACTTGGCATTTTGTCTTTGCCACTTACTGGTAGTGTGAACTGAGGCAAGTCACTTAACTTCCAGGAGCCTCAGTTTTCTTGTCTGCAAAAAGGAGCCTACAATAGTATTTATATCACAAGGATTAAACAGGATGATGTATGTTAAGTAACTGGCATACTGCCCAACCTGAAACAAGTAGTAGATTCTTGTCTCTTCCTTTACCCCTCCCCTTCTATGTCATTTTTTAGTCAATTGAATTTCAAAGCCAAGTGATTGGAGGAACAGTATTAGTATTGACACTTTAGCCAGTCGTAAAAGGATTTCGTATGGTGAGAAGGCAAGTTGGCTCCAGATATGATATGAAGTGACCAAAGAGATTGAGCTATCAGGATGAATTGGGTTTTTTCCCCCAAAAAATATAAGGAGCTAAAGGGTGTTCTCACTGAATGAAATGAAATCAGATTGGAATGAGAATGAGACTAGTCACATAATCTGTGAAACTACTCTGGGACCGTGCCCTCCTTAGCATTAGCGTTTGCATCTCTTAAAATACTAATTTTTTGTTTCTGTTTTTTCTAAAATTCTTTTACAGTCAGCTCTGGCTGTTGGTGCTAGCTTTAGTGGTAAGCGGCATCTCTGCTGGAATGAGTGTGATTCCAACTTTCCCAGAGATTCTCAGTTGTGCATAGTAAGTTACTTCCATTGCTTGAAGAGCTGTCTTGTGAGTAGCGGTGAGCATCACAGGCTTTCTTGAATTTCCCAATTTTGTAGGATGTTGGATATTTTTTCCCAATATTAAATCTTTGTTATTTCGTAGCATATAAATGGTGTGATATAAATAGTATAAATATAAATATAAATAATAGTATAATATAAATAATAATATATAGTAATATTAATACAATAATATGTAAAGTAGGTTGTGGATAGATGCTTGGTTTGGTTTATGCCTCAGCAGATGTGTAATTTTGAAAAGCCAAAGCAAAATGGAAAGGCATTAGTATTCCTCTTTCATGGGAGAAATCCATACAAGAGCATAGAGTGACCAGGCATATGTCATTTGGCCATCATTCTTTTGTTTAATGGGCATGATAATGAAGAACACTAAATACTATGGCTGTGCTGGGTCAGTTCAGTGTTTCTCATAGGAATAAGTAGCTGCCTTTGTGTTTTCTAAAAGTTGCCCATTGTTCTTTTTACATCTTTATCTCATTTTAAGAATTTCTTAATTATATATTTTTGTGAGCATTTAATGCAAATAGGTCATGATTAAGATAATATCTTTATATATATATAGAAAATCATGGAGTAAATTTAATGCCGGAGACCAGCTCCAGTCGAGTTGGGGGTCTTTGAAAGAGGGATGGAAAGGCGGCGAAAATAAAAAACACAGGCAGAGACCTCGGTTCCTCTGAAGCACGTTCTCAGCCTGCGGGCTGTCAGCGCTGTAGCAGCCAAAGCAGCTAAAGCAGCTGAAGCAGCCTTCAGACTGGAAACAGCTTTTTTTATTTGTTATACAACACGGGGGGGTTAATGTGGGCATTTTAACTACATAAACCTTTAAAATTATTAAGTCAATAATTAAATGGAAACTGTTCTTAAAATTACATCAGTTCTCATAAAATTAATAATCTACAAGGTAAATAAAACTCAGTTGTCAGCCAAATCTTTCTGGTGATTATATCTGTTGTGTGGTCAACTAGTCCGTGACTCGCTGTTCTTGACGTTTTTCACCATTGTGTTTCTTTTCTTTCTTGTTCTCGTATTAACCTTAAACTTACTACTACCAGCAAGCATAAATTATATGTCTGACTCAAAATTGAGACGGCAGCGATTGCGGTTTCAAAGTGTTAAACAAACCTTATATATATTTAACTTTGATTTAATGATTCTCATATTTCTATAGGCATGAACCTATTGTTTATTTGGAAAAGGAATAAAAAATATTTGAACAGCTTTATCATGCATATACTTAATCTAGCGGCTATGTGGCCCAGTGTAAAGTGTCAAAGTGCACAGCACCATCCATCACAAAACCAGGTGCATTCTAAATTCCATCTATAATCTTTATTTTTAGGAGGGAAAGTTGTGCATCATATGTTTTTGTCCCAATATCTTACTAAGATGTTTTTATTTAACTTAGGACACCAATGAGTAACAGGGTTTCTACACATTCTTTTTCATAAACTTAATTCTTTTTATAGTATCTTTTTCCATTAATTCCAACCATTCTCTTACCATTAATATAATCCCCTGTAAATGACGTTTGCCAACTTAAGTCATATTTAGGACGTCCCCTAGGAGGGTACCAAATTTTTCCTTTTCCCATTTTATAATCCATATAACCATTTACCCAGATGGTGGGAAGAGGATGGGGATTTCTATTGTTTATTAATTTCTTTGGTAAAAACAATTGCTCATGGCTATTCATAAGGTGTTTTTAAAACATCCATTGGTATAATAAATTGACTCAAAAGGGACAATTTGGAATTGTTCAATCTTCTTGGATCTTTTGTGGGATAATCTAATTTTATGACAACAACTGTTTGTGTGTCATTTTCTGCATCTTTTGGAAACTCAGTAAACTGCCACGCTGACCAAAACATCAAAAGAGAAAGTGAAAGCCGCACCACTATGCCAAGGCAGAGATCTTTACAGTGAAAGCAAGTGCTGGTAGCTGTGGCCCTACCAGCAGCTCTCCCTCCGGGGCCTTGTCAGCTCGGAAAGGGCAGCCCAAGCTGTTCTTTTCAAGACCCTGCCATGGCGTGGACCGTGCCAATTTAACTATACAAATTCTTTCAAATTAGATTCACTTTTTGTCTTAGAATTGGAGTGTTCTTGCTGTTGGTTTTATCCGGATTATCCCTGGTTTATCTTAATTTATGTGTCATGCAATTTTTTCTTTCACACAGGTTTTCCTTTTAATAATGGATACACCCATGTCTCTCTTTGCAGTGAAAATGGATTCGAAGAAGGATTAAGTACATTGGGACTTGTCTCAGGTCTTTTTAGTGCAATGTGGTCAGTTGGGTGAGTAGTCATTGAATTTCATTGACACCTGCAAGATAGAAAAAACTATTCCCATTTTACAGATGAAGAAACAGACATCGAGAGGTCAGATAAATTTCTCAAAGACAGATAGTATATCTGGAGTATATCAGAGCCAGATTTCTATCCACACCCTCTGACTCCAAAATCAGTGGTTATACCAACAGTTTTAATATCTAATCAAAATGGTCCCAATAGTTTGTCTTATTTAAGTGATACTTGTATTTTTTTTAACAGAAACATGTCCCAGATTTTCAAAATTTATTTATTCATTCATCTGTTTTTATCTTCTACTATACCAGAACATATACCAGAACTATAACAGTATGCTAGCAATGTAATATATAGTCAATAAGTACATATTTAATTGAGTTATGTTAGATGCAAATACTGAGAATAGACTAATATAAAAATTCTTTTGAATGCATGTCATGTCTTCTATTTTTTTTTTTTCCTTTTTGTCTTTTTTCATGACCGGCAACGGATCGCAACCCTCAGTGTCACGCCCATACTGGACCGGGACCGGCAACGGGATCGCAACCCTCGGTGTTGCTCCTGCACCTCGCTCAGCCAGTGAGCGGCCGGTCTGTATGTGGGATCCGAACCCTCGGCGGGAGCGCCACCGCGCTCCCAAGCGGCGCACTGTAGCAGTGCGCCACCAGGCCGGCCCATGTCTTCTATTTTTATGTAAGCCACCAACTTTTCAGAAGAAGTTATAATTTTAGAATTGTTTAGAATTTTAGAATTTTAGAATTCCTGAGCATTCCCAATGCTCAGGAATTTGGGTGTTTTTGTCCTTTTTGAGACCGCTGCACCGTGCTCAGCCAGTGAGTGCTGTGAGCGCACCAGTCATCTCTATATAGGATCTGAACCCACGGGAGCGCTGCTGTGCTCCCAGCTCCGCACTCTCCCGAGTGCGCCACGGGCTCGGCCCCGGGATTTTTTTTTTAGTACTTATAGTTCCAATTCAAAGAAGACCTATGATTGAGAGATCATGTGGCTTTTATGAAGTAATTATTTTTTACACTCTTTAATACTGTTTTTCTTTCCATTGTTAGTGCTTTTATAGGACCAACACTGGGTGGATTTCTGCTTGAGAAAATTGGTTTTGAATGGGCAGCGGCAATACAAGGTCTGTGGGCTCTAATAAGTGTGAGTATAACCAGTCTTCGACTTTCATTTTCTTTATGTGTGGAAGAATTTGACTTGGAGAATTTACATTAACCTATACCTCTAATTGTGTTAAAGGGATTAGCGATGGGCTTGTTTTATTTACTGGAGCACTCAAGGAGAAGAAGAAGGTATGATCAACTTTTGGGCTTTTTTCTCCCCTCCAAAGTCAGCCTGTGGGAGTGTAAAAGAAATACCGTTTTAAATCTGTTCTTCCAGTTAGCAGTTTTCTGGGCACTCTGAGGCTCATCACTTGGTAGACACTTTTAAGGAGTTAGTTGGGTAGAGATGTAGATATTAGAGTTTTCTTTCAAGATGAGAAATATTGAGATTTTCCTCTTCTGTCCCTCAATGTAGATCTAAACCTCAAAACATCCTTAGCTCAGAGGAAGAGCGAACTGTTCTCTTGCCTAATGAAATCTAGCCTTATGAATCCTGGATGGTTATACGATTGGGAGATGGATGTTCCTGGCCTTGAACATCACTGTTGGAAGGGCTTTCTTAATTTTACGCACAGAACTCCATGAAGTCCACACCAGCATCCTGGAAGTATCAATGTATTTTTTGGATGATCCTGTGATGGGCTGCGCTTGATGTCCTGAAAAGCTGGCCTGCTGACCAGCCATATCTGAAACATTTAGTTTGTGAAGAGTGGTTGAAAACCAGGAAAAGTTTGTGTTTTTAAGTGACCAAACTTGTCAGTGAAGATATTGTTATTGACTCTGTTTAGTTCTCCTGTTTCCTTTGTTGACTTTTTATTCTGTACCTTTTTTTATTAACAGGGAAAGAAATGAATTAACTTAATATGCTTAAAATATATAAAGATGACTCCTATTAAATATACAGAATACTTACTATTAAATCAGTTTTTAAAAGATATACTTTCTCTGTGTCCTGAGACTTTTGTTCTTGTTCAGAAGACAAAATTTCTGCCTGCCATGCAAAAACTCTACAGCATTCCCTGGCCATAAGTTTTTCTAAAAATTTTCTTTGTGTAAAAGGTATAAGAACAATAGTACTTACAATCTCCGGTTTTGTAATCTACTTTCAATTACATTCTGGATTTATAAACATTATTTGGTATAATATTATTCATTTCTCTTAATGTTGCTGTGTTTTAGTTCTTCTGTTATATATATATATTTTTTCCTCCTCATGGTAGTATATCCCATCCCTACAGATGACCTCTCCCACCCCCTCCCTCCGCCAACACACAAATGCATGTTAGTTAGAGAAGTGCTTCCTCCAACCTCATGTAAAATCTGTGTGGTGGTTTGACGTGAACACATCTGTTATGCACCTCTTATACCTCCTTATCTGTTTTCATGGCATTGTGGCCAATTTACCTTTTTGTTTTTTAGAAGAAGAAATAGTTTCATCTATTTATTCATTCGAAAATATCTTTTGAATGCCTTCTCTGGACTGACAGTGTGCTGGGTGCTAGGGATTCCGCTCTGGCCGAAATAAACATAATCTCTGCCTTTATGTAATTTATATCAGTGGAAGGAACAAACAATAAATATCAGAATTTCTAATTATCTTACAGAAATGCTATGAAGGAAAAAAACATGGTGATGTGAGTAACTTGCTGGGGTTGGGCTTAATTTAGATAAGGCCTCTCCGTGGAGGTGAGACTTTTGAGCTCAGATCTGAAGGGTTGAGAATGAGACTGCCATTCATTCATTCTGATGGGAGAGTGGACCACACAGCATATGTGTGAAAGGGAGGGCAGACCACAACATGTGCAAAAGAGCTTGACCCGGTCAAAGATGAGATCATGGCCCACTGACTGGAATCTAATAATTAGAGGCACTTTGGGAGGTAGAGAGGAGCCAGTTTTTAAATGGGTGAGGCCAGAATCTGATTCACAGTTTGGGAAGTTCATCATGTCTGCATGTAAACGGTGAATGGGGAAGCTGGAAAATAGGGATGGAGGGAGAACTTTGAAGCTTTGAGAGAGACAGTAATGGTGTGGACCAGGGATGTGGCAGTGGAGATGGAAACCGAAGGGTGTACTTGGAAGTGGAACCAACAGGACTTGGTGATGTCGTGGGAGAACTAGGATGACTCCTAGGTTTTGGCTTGAGGGAGTGGGTGGATGGCGGTGCCTCTTAGTGAGATGGGGAAGAATAGGAGCAAAACAGATCTTGAAGGGGCAAATTAAAACCATGATGGATGCCCGCTCCCACCACCAAAATGAAAGCTTAAAGGACGACAACGCCAAGGGTTGGGGAGGATCGTTTGCACTGATCGTCAAGGTTGGATGTCCGTGTGTTTCATGGTCTCTTCATTTTCCTGTTCCCTCAAGCCCCTTGGCCCTCGGACCTCCAGAGGGTGGTCAGTGCATGAGGAGCACAAATGGCCTGTCGGTCTCCTTCCCCGAGCAATGTCGGGCCTTGACCGCGGTCGTTATATCTTCCCGGCCCCGCTACAGTGCTTTGCGCCTCTCGGTGCCAGCTGGCGTGGGGCCGCCCGTAAGCACGGGGGTCGCAGGGGCACCTGGGCATCACTCTGGATGGCCAGCCTCTGCCCGTTACCGGCACGGTTGACCTCGGCCGTTGAGAGTTCAAGGTCAACGCAAAGATTCCAAGCTTTCCGGCCAGAGAACTTTATTCCATTCCTAGCACGTTGCTCTCAATACATGCCACGGGTGCTGGCAAAGTCGCTTTGGACAAAACCAACTTTACCCCTTCCTCATTTTATGATTTTGCAAGTATAAAGATAAATGACAAAAAAAGTTTAGAAATATGAGAAAAGATAGAGGAAAGAACACTTTGAACAATGAAACCAAAAGGTAAGTCAAAACTATCAAAGGAAATCTCTGTGTATATGTTTATATTTTCATATATTTGTATTCTCCCAAATGTAACAAAGGTGCCCAGCTTGAAAGAATCCTTTTTAAAAATGAGAATATTTTATGTAGCTGAATGTAGAATGTATTAATAATTTAAAAAGTTATGTTTTATGTTAAGATCATATTGCAACCTATGCAAATATATATATGATACACAAATCAACCCAAAAGAAAAATTAAAAGGATATATGTAGATCACGTATAATTTTTTTAAATTAAACTTTAAAAATATTGAGATAATTGTTTATTCATATGCAGTTGTAAGAAATAATACACAGAGATCCTGGGTACCCTGGTTTTTCCCAATAGTAACATCCTGCAAAACTACAGTACAATATCTTAACCAGCATACAGAACATTCCCATTACCACATCCATCATGTTGCCATTTAATAGCCACAATCACTAGTCTATTCTCCATTTCTATAATCTGGTCATTCCAAGAAATGTTGTATAAATGGAATCATATAGTATGTAACCTTTTGGGACTGGCTTTTTTCACTAGATGTAATGCACTTGAGATCCATCCACATTTTTGCATGTATTAATAGCTCATTTCTTTATCTCTCTGAATACTATTCCATGGTATGGATATATGACATCTTGTTTAATTGTTCGCTTGATGAAGGACATATGGATTGTATCCAGTTTATGGTTATGACAAATACAACTGCTATGAACACTCATGAACAAGTTTTTTTTTTTTTTTTTTTTTTTTTTTTTAAAAAAAAAAAAAAATTTTTTTAAGGGGTTTTAAAAGCGGTTTTTTTTTTAAAAAAAAAAAAAAATTTTTTTAAGGGGTTTTAAAAGCGGTTTTTTTTTTAAAAAAAAAAAAAAATTTTTTTAAGGGGTTTTAAAAGCGGTTTTTTTTTTAAAAAAAAAAAAAAATTTTTTTAAGGGGTTTTAAAAGCGGTTTTTTTTTTAAAAAAAAAACCTCTCTTAAACCCCCTAAAAAAATTTTTTTTTTTTTTTAAAGATGACCGGTAAGGGGATCTTAACCCTTGACTTGGTGTTGTCAGCACCACGCTCAGCCAGTGAGCGAACCGGCCATCCCTATATAGGATCCGAACCCGTGGCCTTGGTGTTATCAGCACCGCACTCTCCCGAGTGAGCCACGGGCCGGCCCACTCATGAACAAGTTTTTGTGGGAACCTAAGCCTTCATTTCTCTGGGATAAATAAATGCTCAGGATACAACTGCTGGGTTGTATGGTAGTTGCAAAATTAATTCCCCCCCCCAAAAAAAAACACCTCATTTATTTTTGATAGGAAACTTGTTTTTAACAATAAATATTAAATATCATACATTAATGAAATATCATTCTAATTTTTTATTAAATTATCAAGATTTAAATACGTTACATATATCCACTCAAACCTACCTGGCAAAAGAGATGAATAATAAATACTGACATAGCCAACTAATTTTCATTAAATGCAATTAATTACTGAGAGGTAAAGAAGCAGGTATCTCTATTTATCATCATGTCAAAAAGGAATGATCCAAAGACTAGTCCCATGATTGTAATCTTTCCTTTAGTATCACTGTCATGTGTTCTTGTTTTATGAAATAAACCCACAGAAGAGTCAGGCTCAAAAACAACATATGTAGACAGAAAAAATAAAATGGTATCTAGGTATTAACAAAGGAAACTAAAGCTTGTATATTCGGTCTTCATTAAGAACTTATAACTAGTTTCCTTCAGAAATCCACAGCTCGGGCCGGCCCGGTGGCGCACTGCTACAGTGTGCTGCTTGGGAGTGTGGTGGCGCTCCCGCCGAGGGTTCGGATCCCACATACAGACCGGTTCCCGCTCACTGGCTGAGCGAGGTGCTGACGCAACACCGAGGGTTGCGATCCTGTTGCTGGTGCCGGTCCAGTACGGGCGCGACACTGAGGGTTGCGATCCGTTGCCGGACACGAAAAAAGACAAAAAAAAGGAAAAAAAAAAAAAAGAAAAGAAATCCACAGCTCCACATCTAATCCCAGCCTATTTATAGTTGAGTGTTATAGGGGACAATCTGGGGAAGCATGGTATTGAGTAATAACTTTTGACATAGTTTACTGCAACCTCATCATCAGTACTAAAATAATGGGTCAGCAATAGTATGACAAATGCAAAAAGGAGTACATTATATCATTTGTAAATTTTTGTCATTCAAGACAAAAATCAAGTACCAAATCAGTTGTCACTTAATTACATATTTCAAAAATTACAGCCATAAAATAAGTTGTTGGATAAATACAGGTAAGTTTTTTTTCTTTTAAGAGAATTAAAACCAGTGTAGATAAATCTTGCATTTGAACATAATACTAACACATTTTCTTCTTACGCTTTCAGAACTTTTGGCTCTGTGTGTTTTCTCTGTTGTTTTCTGCTCCACTACCATTATTACTTGTTTGTGTTTGCCTCTATTATTTATTTATCTGATAAAAATCTGAGTTGCTTGGTTGTTGGTGAGCTGGGTGCAGCCTCTAGATCTGGAACATGATTTAGTGAGGAAAACGAGGATGTTCATTAGGAAGTGGGCGGGCCATCATCCCATAGAGTAAGGATGTACAGCATTGGATTGCATGCTTACTACTTCATCTTTTCTTTTTTCTTTTTCTTTGGCTGCTGGCCGGTAAAGGGATGGAATACTGAACATGGATGTTACTAGCACCATACTCTAACCAACTGAGTTAACCAGCTAGCCCTTGCTACTGCATCTTCTGAAATGAAAAGCATCCTTTAGGTAAAGCAGCCTTGTTAATTGGAAAGAACCACATGGAAAAGGAAGATCCGCCAACAGCTTCTTCATTCCTATAGCTGTGAGAATTTATCTCAACACGGCGCTCAAAAGTTTGGTTAGTTGATTCAGAAGAGTGAGAATTCCCACATGATACCACACATTAATTGATCCTCCATATAAATGAATTCCGTTCAGCAAAACTAGCATAAGACTTGCATTCTTGGTGTTTAATCCAAACAAAGGCAAGATTTCAGCTTTTTTTTCTCTGCTTTTTGCATATAATCACTTTGGTCAAT